GTGTATTATTAGTTTCAGAGGCAGAGTTCAGTGATTCATCAGTTGTATACAACACCCAGTGCCCTCCTTAATGCCCATCACCCAGTTACCCCATCCTCCCACTCTCCTCCCCTCCAGCAACCCTTAGTGTGTTTCCTATGATTAAGAGTCTCTCATGGTTTGTCTCCTTCTCTGATTTCTTCTTGTTTTATTTTTCCCTCCCTCCCCCTATGCTCCTTTGTTTAGTGTCTTAAATTCCACATATGAATGAAATCATATGGTACTTCTCTCTCTCTGATGAACTTAAGTTGCTTGGCGTTAATATCCTCTAGTTCCATCCACATCGTCGCAAATGGCAAGATTTTTCTTTTCTTTTCTCTTTTCTTTTTGATAGCTGAGACTCACATTTTCTTCCATGCTTTAATGTCTTTGAAATCAGGCTATATCTTTTTTTTTTTTTCTTGAAGATTTTATTTGTGTATTTGACAGAGAGAGAGAGAGCATGAGCAGGGGGAGTGGCAGGGCAGGAAGGAGAAGCAGGCTCCCCACTGAGCAGGGAGCCCGATATGGGACTTGATCCTGGGACCCTGAGATCATGATCTGAGCCAAAGGCAGACCCTTAATCGACTGAGCAACCCAGGTGCCCCAGGCTGTATCTTATAACTGCTGTTGAGTAAGTGGCAATTTCATAGTGTTGGCATTGCTTCCACAGGAACCTTGGTGTCAGCTTCCAAGCTCTTGGGCGCCAGTTGTAGGTGGATATACTGAGCTACATCCCTGAACCAGGTTCACAAGGACGCTGACGTGATATGATTGTAAAGCTGATTTACAGCACCAATGATTTTTGGTGTTTCTGAATTCTTTTAAGAAATGCCCTCTTTTTGGCACAGAGCGCAACACTGTATAGAAAAAAATTAAAAGCCATCCAAGTCAATAGTGATTCAGAAAAGTCAGACACTGAGTCTTAAGTATACCAAATATGCATTTGACTATTTCTCATTTTAGGTACACATGAGTGATAAAAATCTATGTCTGGTAAAGTTGAAAGAAGTTTTCCAGTAAGATATAAAATATTAATTCCAAGTAATGGAAAAGCCTGATTAACTGGAAAAGCTTTTTCTTAATGGAACATAAAAATGGTGTTACAAAAAATGGCATAGTCTATGACATTTTAAAATTATGTTTTTAATGATGTGTTTTCTCAGTGCCTTGAGTGTGAAAAAATTGGGGAAGCACAATCTTTGAGGGAGGAGGGCTTACTCTGGCCAATTCTTACACACTAGAAATTATCTTTAAACTTTTCTTAATAATCTATGTATTTTAGATTCCTGAAGTCAAATGAGAATTACATCTAAATAAAGAATGGGTCAAAATAAAAATTTTTAATTGTCTCTTGTTAGTAAATTCCTTAAATCTTTTTTCCTTAAGGATTTCAAACAAATATATCAATAGAGACTATATTACATGTGCCTCAACATAGGCAAGTTTTTCTTCTACCAAGATCTAGTATCTTTATCACATTAGTTCAAATATTTCAATAAGGATAAGATTCTCCAGCAAAAAATGTTTATATTCCCAAAACCTTTTAAAAGATTAGATTTTTAAAGAAATGTAAACCATATCTTGGTAAATAGTATGTACCAAGAGAAGGGATGTTGATGGTAGAGCAGAATTTCTAATTAATTTCATAGATTAATTCAACTCTTTCTCAATAGCAATTTGACTACGTGAAATTAAGAGGCAAATAAAGTGGTTTATAGACTTTGGCCTAGTAATTGTATTTCCAGGTTTCTTTTTTTTAAATTTTTTTCATATTTCCATGTTTCTAAGAAAAGCAATTAAAATGTGGAATTGTTACATAATTATGATATTCTATTCAATGGATTATGCAGCTGTTTTTAAATGGTAAATATTAAAACTATATTTAAGTTACCTGTAACACATACGAAAAAAAAACAGTGAATGGAAATGTTAAAAAAAAAAAAAAACAGCTAGTATGTTAGGTGATAAAAACTGAAAGTGATCCTTTTCCAAAACTTTTGGAAATGTTGTCTTAGCACTACTTTTACAATTGAAAAGAGAAAAAAATGCTTGACCATCTGATACTATACCATATAAGCATGAGGGAAACTGTAGATATGCATTATACTGTTAATATCACTTACTGATTGGGTTTAGAGGAGAAAACAACTTGTTTCATTACATATCTTATTTGAATTCTTAATTTTACCTACTTTTTTTTTTTTAAAGATTTTGTTTATTTATTTGACAGACAGAAATCACAAGTAGGCAGAGAGGCAGGCAGAGAGATAGGAGGAGGAAGCAGGCTCCCTGCCGAGTAGAGAGCCCGACGCGGGGCTCGATCCCAGGACTCTGGGATCATGACCTGAGCCAAAGGCAGAGGCTTTAACCCACTGAGCCACCCAGGCGCCCCTTATTTATTTGTTGGAGAGAAGGCATGAGTGGAGAATGGGGAGCAGCAGAGGGAGAAGGAGAGACAGTTTCCCCGAGCCAGGAGCTTGATGTGGGGCTTAATCCCAGGACACTGGGATCATGACGTAAGCCAAAGGCAGATGCTTTACCAATTGAGCCACCCAGGTACCATTGAATTGTTAGTTCTATTTTAAAAAAATTTTATTCATTCATCTGAGAGAAGAGAAAGAGAGCATGAGCAGCAGGGATGGGCAGGGGGAGAGGGAGAAGCAGAATCCCTACTGAGTAGAGAGCCAGACACAGGACTCGATCCTAGGGCCCCAAGATCATGACCTGAGCTGAAGGCAGACCCTTAACCGACTGAGCCACCCAGGCACCCCTGAATCCTTAGTATTTTTAAGTGAAAAGATTTAAAAGATTTTTTGATGATTCATGCCCTTGCCATAAAATACAGTAGCAAGTCGGCAAACCTGGCTAACAGGAGTTAGAAGATACTATGAGCATCCACTCCCTTCTATAGGAAATGTCCAAAATAATGCAATAATATTCGTTGACCAGAGCCTATTTCATGATTTTCAGTGGTATTCCCGACGGCAATCACAACAGTAGTCTATGGAAATCTTTAAGATGTAAGACATTTGAGCAAAGTCTTCCTTTATATTCTTCCTTTTCTCATTTAAAATCAAAACCTATTTTTATAGTGAAACCCCCACTTTTGTCTTCGAAGCAACTATTTAGATCATTTCCAAATTAACCATAAAAAAAGAAAAACAAAAACAAAAAACCTCTTCTCCCAACAGAAAAGCTTTTTATAGCTGACACTGAGTCATCTCCTGGGACCCCAAAATGTGCCCCACATAGTGAATGTGTAAATAGAAAGGGCAACTATAATTCTAGTGTTAATTGGGGTGCAAAAATGCCAGTGAATAGGAATTCATATATTTTGAAGTATTCATTGTTCTTTTACACTTCTTTCAGTTTTCTCCTGGAAATGCGTGTGTAGATTTAGAAAGATTTATTAAGGAAGCCATTCTGGAATGCCTGCACAGGGCCCCAGGTATGAGGTCATCCAAGAAATCTGGTTGAAACACTGGAACACTACGGTCTAAGGGACAGTGGGCCACTCAGCTCTGTTGCTTCTTCCCTTCCTATGGAAAGAATTAATTTCTGTTCCTTTAAGGTAATGAAGAATAAATTAAGAGAGCTGAAGAATTGTTTTTCAAACCATGAAAAATAAGTGAGCTCCAACAACACAATTATCTACACAAATTTTCGTTAACATTTGTGATTCATAACTAAAAAGTGCCAATGAGCTAAATGTCTCCCAACTGACGGAAACAAAATGTGGTATATTAGTGATGAAGCAGTGATGTATGCGATGACAGGAACTTTAAATTAAGAAAGCCACTCAAAGAGACAAGATATTGTGATTCCACTTATGTGGGCTGCCCTGGACAGGCACATCCATAGACCCAGAGAGTAAATTAGTGTTTGCCCAAGGTGGAGAGGGCTAACAGACCATTTCTTTGCAGGATGTTGAAACAGCCTACAATTCAGTGAGGGTTGCGCAACTCTATGAATATACTGAAAAAATCACTGAGCTAGAAACTTCAATGAATGATGTCACCAAGATGCCAACACAGGTTTTTCCTGACTTTGTGCCCCTCTCATTAGAAAAACTAACAATTCTATGGGGCGCCTGGGTGGCTCAGTGGGTTAAGCCTCTGCCTTCGGCTCAGGTCATGATCTCAGGGTCCTGGGATCAAGCCCCGCACTGGGCTCTCTGCTTGGCGGGGAGCCTGCTTCCCCTTCTCTCTCTGCCTGCCTCTCTGCCTACTTGTGATCTCTCTCTCTCTGTCAAATGAATAAATAAAATCTTAAAAAAAAAAAAAAAGAAGAAGTTCTCCAGTTAGAAGTTAAATAGATTTTTTTTTTTTTTTTTTAATGTAGGTGCAACACCCAGCATGGAGCCCAGTGTGGGGTTTGAATTCAATGATGATCCTGAATCAAGACTTGGACTCTTAACCAACTGAGCCACCCAGGTGCCCCACAAGTTAAATAGACTTTAAATCCAGTTAAACCTTCAAAAAAGGTCATGTTCCCACCCTGCAGTTAAAAATCCCAAACATAGAAGCCTGTCATTAATCACATAATAGAAATGCCTTTTGGTCCATGATTAACTTTGTCCAATATGCCCGTGAGCAGTTCTACTCTAATGATTTCACAGGTCTTCGGAGGTGGCTAGAAGAAAGTAAATCTCTATATACTTATATAGGAATTGCTTCAGAAGTGTTTAGAGCAGCTTTCCTGAAAGTTCAGTCTAAGAGTATATATTTTAAAAAAAAGGCTGTCGCAAGAAAAGTTCTCTTTAGAAAACTATGGACCTGTTCCACAGTATGGAACTTGTTCCAGTGGGCCGTGGCTGGAACAGAATAACCAGGTGGCATTTGGAGATTCTCATCCCCATTTGTTGAGTCAACTTGAAAGGGAGGAGCCCAGACACCTGCATATTTACATAAGCTCTTCCAGGAGTCAGACATGGTCAGGGAAGAGAATTAACATCCTGATAATCAAGACTCAGCTCACCAACAGGAAGGTAATCCAAATAAGAGGTGCTCCCTATTACTGGCCAGATTGTTTTTGATATTCTTCATTTTCTATCTTTTTACAGAAAAGTAAATTAGAAGTAATAATTTTTGAAAAAATGTTAAGATCTCTTGATCATTATGAACATGGGATTATACAGCAAACATTTATGTTCTGATGGGACAGTATTTAAATTAGGAGATCATCTTTGATAGTCTTTAAAATGTAATCTTTGGTATCTAGTCACGAGAATAATGGAGTCTTAGGAGTGATATTTAAATTAAATTTAATTCAAGACAAACATCACATATATCCACCTTCCCCAAAAGGCTTAATTCATCTGAATTAAGGAAATGGCAATTATTCTGACTGAAGTCTTCGTTCTGTGATATGTGTGTTTGGGCAAGTTTAGGCAAACAGCAAAGGTTTAGAAGTCCTACCACCAAGCCTACAGCATTTTGAAAATGCAAAAGCCAACCTGATTTTCCAATCCGGCAGTTCAATATGAGCTGCCAAAATCTCATCCAATTAGTCCTTCCATTCCAGATAATCTAGTTTCCTCGGGGTCATTATGGTTTTCCTTGGACAGCAGTCCGGGACACGTGAGCTCTCCTTTCCAATTCCCTCAGTTAGCATGGGCAACTCTAGTATCAGAACCATGGAAGTTCAACATCGTTGTCACCAACTCTGGAAGATCAAATTCGTGTTTCCACCCCCAGTCCTTCCGAGCATTGCTGTCATCAAAATTCATCGGCCAACTATCCGCTAGGAAAAGACATGGAAGAGAAGCTTAAATTACTCAGGCTGTGGACTTGCAAAAATGTCTAGCACATTTTATATAAAGGTCTACCATACAAAATGCCACAAAAGAAATTCACCCTCCGAAATTCCTCCTCCAAGGAAACCAGAGTGGCCATTATGCACATACATAGCCACCCTCTTAGATCAGAAGATTCTATTACATGCCCACAATCAGGCACTGAGGATTGTGACTATTAAAATCTCCCATGGACTTGTAGGGCAGCAATCTTCTACTCCAGCAGTGCTCAAAGCCATAGTGGCAGTCACAGCATCAGAAAACCCACGGACATTTTCTTATGCTGTTGTCTGGTTTTATGTTTCAACAATAAAATGGTGAAATGCTGACAAGCTATTTATTTGGAATAGGATGATTCCACCCCCTTTAGATATCAGTGCCCCAAACTGCAGCATCTGTTGTCTCAACAACAGCTTCTTCTTCAGAATGTGTCCAGAACCTCCTTATTCTCCATGCTTTATGTCCTCAAGGGACTCACAGTGCCAACCGAAGCTTCACTTGGATTTTGAGGGGAGTTGCAATGATGTACCCACCGATGGCCTGTCGAACAGAATCCACGTTGTATGTGATCTGGAATTCTGGTATGTGCTTGAGAACCTCCTGGGCCAGGTCCTCAGGGGTGAAGCTCATGGCATTGACATTGTAGGTCCTTATGGAGAGGGACTCTGCCGGGGCCTCCATGACTTCCAGAGTGGCCCTGAGGCAGTCATCAATATACATCATTGGGAGCCTCGTGCTGGGTTTCAGGTTGCACTCAAATTTGCCATTCTTTAGGGCATCGTGGAAGATCTGGACTGCATAATCTGAAAGAGAATCCTGTCTGTGAGTCATCTTGTAACAAAATGATGAATGCGTTAGGTCAGTGGTTTTCAAACACCTTAGGCTCTTTATGCTCCTCAGCATCACTGAGGACCCCCAAAGAGGTCTTAGGAGTGTGGGTTACATCAATATCTACTATGCCAGAAAGTAACAGAGCATTTAAAAAAAAACACTGCTACATCTTAAAATGATAATAATAAACCCATCACGTAGTCATATGTATGATATTGTATATGAAGAAGAATGTATTTTCCAAACAAAAGAAGGCTTAGTGAAAAGAATGGCGTGTTTTACATTTTGACCATGTCTCGTTGCTGGCTCAGTAACAGAAAGCTGGAGTCTCCGGTTTCCTTGTGTGTTCAGCCCACTAGGCCGTCACACATCACACAGTCTCTGGAAAACTCCACAGTGCACTTGTAAAGGAGAATGAAAGGAAGGCAAATGACAGCTTCATACTGATACAGAAAGAGTTTTGACCTCTTGGACCCCTTGGAAAAAAACAAAGATCCTGAGGGATTCCCAGTGCATAATTGCAGAGTATTGTATTAAGGCAAAAAACTTTTTAAAAAGTAACCCCAACAAAAATCTCCTTTAAAATCCCTCAGATTTGGGGATGCCTGGGTGGCTCAGTTGGTTAAGCATCTATCTTCAGCTGAGGTCGGTCATAAGGGTCCTGGGATCAAGTCCCACATAGGGCTCTTTGCTCAGCAGGGAACCTGTTTCTCCCTCTGCCTGCCGCTCCTCCTGCTTGTGCTCTCTCTCTCTTTCAAATAAATAAATAAATAAGTAAATAAAATAAATTTTAAATCTCTCAGATTTTGCCAAGGTTTAGCTTTTATTTTTTTTTTAAGATTTTATTCATTTATTTGTCAGAGAAAGAAAGAGCAAGCAAGCACAAGCAGGGGGAGCAGCAGGTAGAGGGAGAAGCAGGCTTCCCACTGAGCAAGAAGCCCAGCGTGGTACTCGATCCCAGGACCTTAGGATCATAACCTGAGCATAAGGCAGACGCTTAACAGACTGAGCCACCCAGGTGTCCCAAGGTTTAGCTTTTATATTATATCTCAGAGCCCCTCATATGGGAAGGATTTCTAATATGGGAGTTACTGAACATAACGCATGCTTGAGTTCAAACTCATAATAATAAAAATAACGACAACAACAACACTTATGCTCCTTTAACAACATGCAATGCATACATATAGTCCATTTTCACGGAGTTCTCTGCATTAAGAAACGAAGGCTGGATTCAAAGAAAGAGGCTATTTCCTATTTGGTGTTCTCCTACATTATAAATTCGACATGACAAATTTGTTCTCGAATGTTACCTGTTTGATTCTAGCACTGGGGATGGCTAATCCCGGGCTGGATTTGCAGCACCAGCATGAGCTGCCCTTAACACGTTCAAGTCAATGGGATTCCATGAGCTTCTCAGATGTACTTGCCAGAGAGGGCGCAGAAACTCGGGGTCAGCACACAGCTAAAAAGATAGCTGGTCCCTTGCCGCTCTTCACTGCACGTAGAAAGCCTATCTTACTTAGGGCAAAAACGGAAAACAGCACTTACCAGTTGTTCCTCCTCCAGGCTGGGAGTCCGCTGAAATAATTCCAGGATATCTCAAGCATCGGAAATCTAACCCATACCGGTAATGGTAATACTACAAAAAAGAGAAAGGCAATTTTAAAACAAATGCTTTAAACAAGACAGAGCAATGCAAAGAGAAGAAGAGCTCTTTCCTGGGGGGCGGGGGATGGAGCAGAGTATCTTTCCATGCAGTTCTATTGAAATATTCCTAAAGGAAGCGAGACTAGAATTTCTGAGGGCCACTCACTTTTCTTTAACAAGTAACTCTTCCACTTTCACGTTCAAAAAAATCATTCTGGTGACATATCAACACGGTCAATAATAAATCAGCCTGTGCTGATTTTCAGTCTTTCTTTGGAATAGAGTCACTGCTCGACACCCCCAAACAATCCTCCAGGAGCATGTTCCTGTACTGCAGAATGGCACAGAGCTCAGGGGAGGACTGCGGGGGAGGAGGGCAATGCCTGATACCTCAGCTAAAGGAGCAGACACCACTCACACTTGTCCTAGAGTTGTTTTTTTTTTTTAAGTTTTTAAATTTTATTTTATTTGAGCGAGAGAGAGAGAATGAAACAGAGAGAGAGCACGAGCAGGGGGAGTAGGAGAGGAGAAGCAGGCTCCCCACTGAGTAGGGAGCCCAATGTGGGATTTGATCCCAGGACCCTGGGATCATGACCTGAGCCAAAGGCAGAGGCTTAACCAACTGAGTCACCCAGGCTTCCGTTAGCACAGAGTTTTAAAGACAAAGAATATTAAAAAAAACAAAAAACAAACCAAAACTCCTTTGACCTTCTCCATAACACAATGTTCAAAAATCACCTCCCATTACTGCCAATACTGGGAGCCTGACAGAACGGAGCAGTACCAGTAAGACAGACAGCAAATGAACAAGAGGGTGCCATTGAGGGGCCTCTGGGAAGTGCTGTGTGTTATACATGGCCAAGGGCTAAGGAGCTCTTCAGGAGCATTCAGTTCCTGCCACTTGGCAAACACAATCAGTTTGGGAGCACTTCTGGGGGCTGGGCTGGGGGCGGGGGTAGAGGTAAACATCCTCTCCAAGGATGAATCAGCAAGTGTATGAGGCAAAGAGAACAGAAAAGGCAACGCTGAGTCATCTTGCCAAGCAAGGCTTACTTCTCCCATGAGCTCGGCGTGGACCTTGGACACCCCGTAGATGGTCCTGGGCCTCTGCACACAGAGATCGGGAGTTGGATTCCGGGGAGAAGTAGGTCCAAAAGCTCCGATTGTGCTAGGCACAAACAATCGCAAACTGTGCTCTGCGGCGACATCCAGGACGTTATGCAATCCTGCAAGGAACAGACATGACGACCACCGTCTCAAAAATCTCCTGCAGAAGAACTGGAAGAGCTGACAAATCAGCCATCCTGGGCAAGACCCAGAAACTTACCGGTGATATTGACGGCCCTGGCCAAGGACACGTTCGCTTCCCCGACGGCACTGAGCAGAGCACTATAATTAAACAACCAGGTGATGCGGTTGTTTACCACGATCTCCCGAAGATTCTTATAATCCAGAATGTCGGAATAAATAAACGGGCCTACAAGGAACACAACAAAACCAGAGAAGCACAAGTTAGGGGTTTAAAAAGCCAAGGGGACCTTCCCCCCCCACCCCAGTTGGCTCGTGAATTCCATTAGGGTCAACTGGATGGCTGGATCATTGGACGCTGTGCAGCATTTTGCTTACAGAAGAACAAACCCCAGCCACCCCCTAGGTAACAGAAGCTCGCGCTCATGAAGGACTTAAACTTGCCACACGCTGTCCAAGGCCTTTCTGTATACTTAGCTCTCATACAGCCTTTCAGGGAGATATATCTGACCGGGAGGGAAACTGAGGCACAGAGAAGCACTAGCCAGGATCAGAGTGAGTGGGAGAACCGGGGTATCTGGCTCCCAAGTTGGTGCTGTTAATAGCCCCCCTACAGGCACAGTAATTTCACTCTGCCAAAAAGTTACCCATTTTAAAAAGGCTAGAGAAGTGGGTTTTTAAAAGAACATACAACTTGGTGTAGAAGAACCACAGGCATGAGCTAGGGAGAGCCAGGCTGGTTCGGTGGCAACTTCCCCCGCTTATAGCAAAGTACCAGGAAGGACCTGGAGACCTTACAACCATGTTTCTAAGGTAGGAGAAAACTTGAGGACTTTGCAGTGTTTGTGTGTGTGCACAGCAGTTTCAAAGCAAATTTATGTTGGGGCCCAACTCTTGATTTCACCTCAGGTCATGATCTTAGGGTTGTGAGATCAAGCCCCGTGTTCGGCTCTGTGCTTAGCACGGAGAGTCTGACTCTGTTGGGATTCTCTCTCTCTCTCTCTCCCTCTTGCTAAAATAAATAAATAAATCATCATCATCTTCTTCTTTTTTTAAAGAGCAAATCTATGTGGAAATAGGAGGATTAATTTCTCCAAAGTTTTAAAGTTCTTTTTTCTCATTACAGAACTTGATTTTTGTTTTCCCTCCGAGCAAAGAAATTAAAGACTCAAAAAGGCAGGAATCAAAGTTTTTATTCCAAAGATACTATCCCAAATAACGCACAAAGATATCATCCCCAAACTTTACTTCAAGTTTGAAAGAGTTCTCCTGTTCTTGTAACTCTTAACAAGAAGCAGCATTAACTGCAAGACATTTCACAGAACTACGAGGGATCAAATTAGGAATGAGGGTTTTTTTTTTTTTTAAAGAGACAGTGAGTTGGGGGGGTGAGGCACAGAATGAAAGGGAGAGAGAGAATCCCAAGTCAGCTCCACGCCCAACATGGAGCCAGACGTGCGGCTCAATCTTACGACGCTGATATCGTGACTGGGGCTGAAATCAGGAATTGGGCACTTAACCCACTGAGCCACCCAGGTGCCTCCAAATAGGGAATTTTTAAAAGTCACACAATTGAGCCTCAGTAACACCTTTCTTTTCATCACAAGCCTGGTTATGAGCTGTTGTACACACTGATCCCATGAGCCGCCTCTCTAACTACATTTTGAAAATCAAAATGAAACAAAAACAAGGCATCTTGATTTCTTACCGCTGTGGAAGATGTGATCGGGGGGTTTCCTTATGTCAGACAAAATCACATTGTCCTTCCCAAATCGTTTCCTGTAGGGAAGAGCAAAACATGTGACTTGGTACATCTAGGATATAACTGGCCCAATGAAAATGTGCTTTCAAATAGGGCAAAGGACCAGTGGGGGAGACGATGAGCCACAGACCTGCTACATGTCTATGATATTAAGAACAAAATAAAACGATTACATGTTGCCAAAGACAAGCTGTACATACTAAAGAACTCAGATTTTCAATTTCAGCTTTTTGGTCTCTTACCTCAAAAGGTTAGCAAGCCCTACTCCAAGCTGGCCAAGACCCCCTAGATGAAGAAGAAAAAAGTGGAACTTTAATTCATATCTTACCAGTTCATTTATTCCCAGAACATAGTAACAGAATAAGACTGTAGGGCAATCTCAGCTTATTAGGGAAGGCCCCACTCTGACCTGATAAAACTAAGTTACATCCTCCACACAAGAACAGAGATCGATGTAGGTGATATTAGTTGCAGAGACAAAACTCTTTCTAGCATTGGGTGGCTGACAGGAAGCAATGGTGCAAGAAGAGAAAAAAATCACAAGAAAGCCGGACAACCTCCTAGCCTCTTAAGCCAGGAATTCCCTCTCAGACCTGCCCTCATTATTTGATGGGCTCTGAAGCTTGAGTGCAACAGGAGCCAAAACACTCAAAAGCCAAACAGAAAATTTGAGATCAACCTCTGGTAGGATTATCAAGAAGCCCATCCCCCATTAGGACTGGGCTGGGGTACAAGAGGGGAAAAGGGGGACAAACCAGGAAGTCATCCGAGAAAAGGGAAGACAACTGAATTGACAAGGAGCCACGAAGAAAACTAAATTTTTTTTTAATTTTTAAAAATTAAAATTAGAGCTTCCTAATTTAGAGGCTCAAAAATGCTGCTGAGTGAGGCACCTGGGTGGCTCAGTAGGTTAAGCCTCTGCCTTCGGCTCAGGTCATGATCTCAGGGAACCGCTTCCCTCTCTCTCTCTCTCTGCCCGCCTCTCTGCTTACTTGTGATCTCTGTCTGTCAAATAAATTAATAAAACCTTTAAAAAAAAAATGCCACTGAGAGGGATGCCTGGTTGGCTTAGTTGGTTAAGCGTCTGCCTTTGGCTAAAGTCATGATCCCAGGGTCCTGGGATCAAGCCCCACACCCCACTGGGCTGCCTGCTCAGCAGGGAGCTTGCTTCTTTCTCTCCTTTGTCCCACCCCCTGCTTGTGCACTCTCTCTCTCTCTCTCTCTCTCTGACAAATAAATAAAATCTTTTTTTTTTTTTTTTAGTAAGTAAAATCTTTTAAAAAAAATGCCACTGATTGAAATGGGTGAGCTGGAGGTTGGGAGTACAGCTGGGGGAACGAAACTGCAAATTTCATCTGAGAGAGGTAAATGAGGCAGGGAGATACAGAAAGTGGGATTTCCTGTAAGTGCTTGTTACCATGGGACTGGAACCAGGCCCACTGACACCACCACCAGGTTCTAGAAGATGCTCTGTTGGTGGAGGAGGGAGGGAGCAAACCAGCACCAGGTAAGTGGAGCAAACCAGGGAGGACGGTATAGAGGGGAAGTGACTACAACCTGAAGTCCATTTCCAGCCAGAGACGAGGAGGCGGAAATGAAAGAAACACACACACTGTGAGGAATGTAAGAAGCCAAGGGGATGGTGGGAAGAAGGAAATAAAGTGTGTCCATCACATCAGAGGTGGGCTTGTGTTGGCTGGAAGGACCTGGAGTGCCAGGTGAAGCTTGGAGCGAGGAGGGCATAGCATCAGGGGCTGGGTGGACAGGAGGTAAGGAGCACAGGGAGCAAGTCTGGCGACGGTGAGATTAACGACATTCCAAGATGGGGGGATGGGTTCCTTGGGCAGGCCCTAACATGTTTCTTCTGTCTCCCACACACAAACATGCAACAGCTGCGGGGCATGGATGATGTGGAGTTTGGGTTGAGGAGGTCAGCCAAGAAAAGATGCACCTGAGGCACCACCCACACCGTAGCCCCTGCACATTTGCTACCAGGCAGCCCTCGCCCCCAGGCGATCTCAGCCACACAGCAGCTTCCTGGCCCCCTGTTTCCTAGAGCCAACCTTCAGACAATAAAAAATTATAACATAAAAAGAAAGCACTGGCAACAGTGACAGAATAAGGATTTTGGGCTTGCCATTCTGGAGGAAGCCAATTGTGGAAAAGGTTATTTCTGATGAATACATGTTAGCTGGTGGCATGGTAGCCCTTCCAAAGCCATCCAGAAACAGCACAGGAAAAGAAAGGAAGGAGAAGAAGGAGAAGGAGGAGGAGGAGGAGAAGAAGAAGAATCATCATCAAGTTGCAAATGTGGAAAAAAAAAAAAAAAGCCCAACCTGTAATTAAGACACGTGGCTGGTCTGTTCCAGAGAAGGAGGCAGAGTGAAAGTTGGTATCTGCTGGAATCTGCCGAGGGGAGGTGCCCAGAAACCGGAGCGGCGGGGCAGCTGTCCAGCAGCCACAGGCTGGGCTCCCCAGCATCTGGCCCACAACCTGCCGCAGCATCTTAGTGATCAGCATTTCCCTGCAAACACCCTGCAATAAAAAAGGAGCAGAGTTAATTACACAACCTTTTATGCTCCCGACCCCTCTGAACACAAGCTCACGGGCACAACGCAGATTGGACTCCCGAACTGAACTAAAGAGACTGCTGAGTGGGCCAACGGGAAGCCTGTCAAGAGCCTCCTGTGTGAGCTGGGCTCTGTGAAAAGGGGATCAAACCCGGCGGGCAGACAAAAGCCGGGCAGAGATTTAGAACTGACACTGCACAATGCTGACATCGCCTGCATCTAACGGTTACCGTGGAGGGGACCGTGCATGGACCTGGAAACACCAAGTCAGTGCATCCCAACAAAGCCTTCGCATCCTTACAGCTGGTCACAGTCTGTCCATGCACCATCGAAAGGCACAGACAGGTCCCAGATTAAATAACTTAGTGCCTTTTCCATCTTGTGCAAACACTCAGATATTATCCTTGGAGTGAACCAGACTAGAAAAGCAGATGGTTAAGAGAAAAAGGTCCTCGGTGACATTCAGTAAGCTGTGACCCCTTTGTTTTGCTGCCCTCTCCTTTCAAAAGGATCATCTGGAAGAGTTGTTTTCTCCTTTCCTTCCAGACCATGAACATCTTAGTCCCCCTCCTCTTCCTCACCAGTTTTATTGGTTACAGACCATGACATCAGTTCTGGCCTTAAGAGGTCAAGACGGTCCAATTGCACAAGGCTGCAACTGGAGGTACAAGAAGGGCCTTCACACACACACACACCACCCCCCCAACCTCCTGCCCCAGCACCCAGGCAAGTGTGTCCCAAGAGTAAATCAGAGCCACACAGCGGGCTCTGATGCTTCCCACCCTCTAAAGTCAGGCCTCCTGCACTCTGCACACGGCCCTGTGGCTTCCACAGTAAGATTTGCAACAGAGCTGGCCGAGGAAACTTCAGAGCCAACTCCAGTGACCCACCCCCTTCCAACGAGATCACCAGATCTAACCATCTTATCTTTGTAAACTACAGTTGAAGACCCTTTAAGATCTGAACTTAGCCTTCTCCCACATTCAACTCCGTACCTTGAGGAGAGAAGACTAATACACAGCATTCAAAGCCCCTACAGCCTTCCCTCCCAGCTAACTTTGCCAAACAAGCAGAAGAGAGCCTTCTGCTGGAGCGTCTCTTGGCTTGCTGTGGGGGATCAGGCCTGGAAAAGGGGCCGCCACTCTGGACCACATCATAGGAAAGGCCCAAGTGTCCCTCATAAGACCTTTGGGGAAATCATCCTTTCAGCCATCATTGTCACCCAAGACCCAGGTAAGAACTCTGATTCTTTTTTGGGCGGGGGGGAGGGGATGGAGTAAAGTGTAATTTTTTAATTGGAAAACAAGTACATAACTTGGAATGGATTTGACGCCAATTGTGCCATAAGCAAATTTTCTTTAAGTGGCTAAACAAAGTTTAAAAAGCAAGTAACAACAAAAGAAAATGTCCTAGTACAGGACCAGCAGTACCAAAAAAAATAATGTGTGAGTACATGGAGCATATACCCGTTGTGCAACAGTGCAACTCTGAACCACATATTGCTGACAGTCCATACTCCACGGAGGAGTTATGGCTCCTTGCTTCTACAACATGCCGACACTTCCTCTCTAAAACTGCTTAAAACAAAGGTACAACCCAGATCTTCCCTCATCTGACCAACTCCATCTCCGCTGAGGTGTGCAGAAGGACTGAGCTTTACCCAGAGGAAGCCATGTGCACCATGTAACTGGATTGGCCTTCTCAAGGAGGGTTTCAGGACAACGACAGTAAGATAAGGGAAGAAAATAGGGAGGAATGAGGTCCTAATCACATCCCTGCATGTTTCTGGACAGCAAGGCGGAAACCTTTTACAGATAAGTTACGAAGAAGAGGCAGATAAATAATTTGGTACAAGACACTGAACACATTCTGTACAACACCTGCACATTGCTGTCATCGTGAGTACAAACTCCTCATAGTTCACGTGCCTGTCACTGTGAAAATCTGCTTCCCTGCCCACTTCAACCTTGGCATCTGCTCACTTTTCTCTCAGGTCTGGCATCACATGGAGAAGGCCTGCACTCCCACAGCTGCGGCCATCTTTATCTAACATGCGGACGGCTCTCCAATTTCTTCCTCACTGTGTCTTTCATTTTTTTTGCCATCATTGTCAGAAATTCCAGGCTGTCAATTGCTTTACCTCAAGACAGCCATCACACCTCAACGCAGAACAAGTGTATCCCTTTAACACATGACATACTAAAAAGATAGGTCCTGAAGGGTCAAGATTTAATACTACTTAACATTTTTACTGTCATATAAAAGGCATTCTTAAGTAAATCTGGTAAACTTTTCAAAAAAGCTATCCTACACCAAATACTTTGGCACCAATCGCTTTTGCTGCCAAGCAGTCACCAAAAAGATACTAATGATTGGTTTGGTGCTGACACCAGATGAACACAAACAAAATGACAAATCCAGCCACGACTGCAAATTTTCCCATTTGTAAGGTAGAATACACTTCTGTTAAGATACTAACACAGTCTTCATGTTTGCAGCTAAAATTTTAATTTGACAAGTTTCTCTGTTATTAGAAGGTGACACGACTAGGGTTTCCTTCAATGCTTTTTCATCCAAACAAGGCTTTCCTGTGTTTCTCCAGCCACTGCAATTTGATAACCTATCCTGCTAGATGCTTCAATAGCTTTTTCACTGCTAGTTTGGAAAGCTATAACAAATCATTTTTGGCTTTTCAAGAGCTCATCATATCTACACTTAAGTCATTCAGTTCATTTTTCTTTAGAGGACTCTGAATGGTTGTTCTCAAAAGAATGCTACTGGCACCGTAATATTATACAAAAACTTTCCACAGTGTAAGACACAGAATGTAAATGTCTAACAACTGTAAAACTGATGAAATCTGTCACATTTTTAGGTCTTATTTAGCTCTCTGGAGTAAATTCCTCCCTTTCATTATTCAGGAAACTCCGATAGATCGTTTCATTTTTTTCAGCACTTACAGACATGGATGGTATAGCTCTGAGTAGAAAAATCAAGTTATCTAGTATCCCCCTGTTTAGCCAACAATACAAAAATAGATAAATATCCTTTCACTTTAGAATAATTTTATATCATTTAAAAATTAAGAAAATTTTTCAAATCAAGACTATGAAGTATGTTTTGACTTCTAGGACCCTACAAAAGGTCTCTGGGAATCCCAGGATTCCCCAGATTATATTTTGAGAAGAGCTGTTCTAAAGTAAAATTTGCTTTGCCAACCTAGCTATTAAATTTATACAGGGAAATCATCAAAGATTCTCAGTCCCTCTTTAAAGATTCGATTATAGTCCACAGACTTTCTCTCCCAAGCACCTTCTTTACTTTAACTGTACAGGGATGAAGAACAATTCGACTCTTCCCCAGAGATAATGGAGTGCCTCCCTGACCCAGGACTCTCCAGGGTAGTTATTATACCACTTCTCCCATCATTCTCCTGGCATTTACCTCTCTGCATGAACCACAGAACTCTAAGACAGCAGTGACATTATGAAGAGGGTGGGACTGATAGAGATGAAGACTCAGAGCTCAAGTACCTTTGGTCATTGTATGGATATGGTAGAGCTAAATAAGGAATCAAGGAGGTTAATACTGAGGTCTCTAATGTATGCTGCTGTAAGAATGGGCTCCCTGGGGAAGTAGGTCAGATGAGAAGACAGAGTTAGGTTTTGGAAACATTAGTCTTTTTTTTTTTTTTTAAGATTTTATTTATTTGACAGAGAGATCACAAATAGGCAGAGAGGCAGGCAGAGAGAGAGGAGGAAGCAGGCTCCGTGCTGAGCAGAGAGCCCGATGCGGGGCCCCATCCCAAGACCCAGGGATCATGACCCGAGCCGAAGTCAGAGGCTTAAACCACTGAGCCACACAGGCGCCCCTGGAAACATTAGTCTTAGGTGCCAGGAGACAATATGGCTATCTCTCTCGTGAGTTGTGAGCGCTTATGAGAAATTCCTACCAGTAACTGATGTATGTCAGTACTCACCAAACAGTGTGGAACAGACCAGAAGGAGAAAACAGGAAATAACAAGGGTTTGTCTACACCATACACACATACACTATAACAGAATGCCCCTGTTTGCAGAAAAAATTACTTTGGTTTCTTAGGGGAGAAACTTATTTCAACTGTGACTGCTCCAAAGATAAATAATTCTGTTTTGGGGAATTTTTTTTTAATGGAAAAACAAAAATGGATTTATTTTACTTTTAAATTTCACAACACAACATTTTACTGAAAATGAAGTGATTTTTAATCTATAAATAAGGACTCTCTAAATGTCACTCAGGATGTTTTAAGACAGATTTGAATTCACAACACATCTTACACACAACAATTTCAATCAACCAGTCACTCCGAACACAATGGGGAGGCATAACAAGTATGTGATGATTTCTTAATAGTCCAAGAGGATAAAGACCTTTTCGAATATGGAAAGAAATTAGTCTTTCTACAGTATTAACTCCTAAAAGCTATTCTCCTTTATAGACAACAATATTCAACAATATTATTGTCAGTTTCATACACTTTTACTTTATAAAGAACTCCCAGAGGAAGAAATTTCTGGAAGCTTTCCCAGATATACACAGCTACATTTTCTGACCTGCTTACAACATCTGCAAAGTATGGCACATCCAGATCCAGATTCTTATGATCGAGGGGCTTCATAATTGCCTCCTCCATATACTCTTTGAGGTCAGCCAAATTCATAACCATCCCTGTAACAGGATCAATCTCTCCATGCACTGCCACCACAATTTTATAATTGTGCCCATGGCCTTGTGGATTGTTCCATTTCCCAAACAGTTTCGAATTTTCTTCATTACTCAGAGATTTGCTGTGGAGTCAGTGGGTCATGCTGAAGGACACAAGGCAGGACACTCGGACCCTGGCGGCGACCGCCCTCACCTCGCCTCCTTCTGTTTCAGGAATATTAAAAGAAACTCCAATTTGAAATA